ACACACACACACACACACACACACACACACACACACACTCACACACACGTGCCTTCACTCCTGTATACACGCATACCTGGAGCGTGCTGCCCCCACCCGGCGGCCTTGCAAGAAGTCCCTGCAGGTATTTCTCTCAGAGTGTCTATTCCAATTGGCCGCACAGAGTCGGTGATGTTGACGGGCGTCGCAAGCTTGAGCAGCGCAATGTCACCTGTCAGTTTGGGCGACACTGGGGAACAGAAAATACAGTCACTTGCATAAGTCAACCACCCACACAAAGGGCCATTTCCAAAGGTCTCCTATCTATCTATCTATCTATCTATCTATCTATCTATCTATCTATCTATCTATCTATCTATCTATCTATCTATCTATCCACCAAATGTGTCAGGATGAGTCGTTTCGGCCGTATTTAACATTATAATGGCACTGTATAAGACACCCACTTGTCTGAGACAATCACCTGTACAAAGGGCAATTTTTTTTATTTCTTCCTTTGCGTATATTTTACATTATAAAGACACTGTGCGAGACATCCACCTGTCTCAGTCCACCACTTTTCTCCCCGACAATGGGTGGCCTTCTAAGACAATTTTGACTGCATTTTTTGTTATTACATTGTGACCCAAACACGAAGGAGGACCAAGAAAGCCTTGCTTAGAGAATGAAAACAGATCAGTGACGGGAGAAGGGCTGGCGACTTTTTTAAAGCTTCTGAACAGAGAAATAGAGGTGCACTATGATCACCGTAGCTTGTTTCTAGATCTGGCATTTAAAAAAGTGCGCCCAACAGACTAGAAGTATATTTACTCCCCTGTCTTCCCAGTATCCCCCTCCACTCTCCACCCTGCCCCCCCCCCTCCTCAACAGAACCCCTCCGGGTAGCTTGGAATCAACAGACCCTCCAAGGTAGGTGTTGTGAAGTTGTTAGGGAAACGGTGTGGTGAGGGGGGGGGGATTCACAACTGCAGACAAGATCTTTAATTAACTATTGATATTTCTAGCAAGCTTCCTTTCGACGTGCCGACGTGTGTACATAACATCTTTAAACTGACAAAAGAAACGTGTGTTATTATTATCTGTTGTGTCTCTAGACACCTGGGGTATCGGCAAAAGAGCATGAATACCGCGGGTTTAGGTACAATGAAAGGTGTGTGGTTGGGGGGGGGGGTGTAGTCCATGAATGTCATAAAGGCAAATGGCACAACGCCAGCCTAATTGTCTGACGCAATGTATATCGTGTCTGTTAACCAAAACGACATATTCTAAGTCACCTTGTCACCTTATCAATGGGTGTAATCCCAAAAGTGTTTACCTAAGCAGTAAGAGCCGTCTTATACTATAAAATGATTCAGAAATGACTCATTTCGAAACTTCAGGTGAATAGATAGATAGATAGATTGATAGATAGATAGATAGATAGATAGATAGATAGATAGATAGATA